ACTAAAGGACACCACTTTTCTCTGAAGCACAAAAAAAGAGAGATGCCTGACATGAAATGATAACTTGAAGTGATGAAGAAGATATCCCATGATATTCAGAGATATGTCTCTGAAGAAATTTATTGGCTGTGAACCCCTTGGAAAAACAACAATATATACAGTATGTAACTATAGAATACAGATAGATCACTTCTGGCAGCTTTTGAAGTTTTTACTGAAATATTATTGATTTCCATGCAATAAATCATGCCCAGTAGCTGGTATTGAGTTGTTTAGTCTTGTCACTTTGGAAATTGCAAGAACAAATTGTATGTACTGGGTTGTTTTTTTTAGTTGTTGTCCCGCTCTAAACATTAATCCTCCATTTGGCTCAAGGTTTAAATAAACTTAACATTGTAGTCAAGCCAAGAGGTCAACGTTTGTTTGTTTCTCTTTTTGAGCCAAAAACGATACTCTTATGTGTTAGGTAGAGTCGTTCTAGGCATGTCCAATTGAAATTTTTAAAAAAGACCCCCCAGGTGAAGAATAGTCTATCTTTCTCTCTCCAATTTAGAATCTATTTTTTCTCCATTAAATGGTCAAGAGCAGATGGCTGCAAGGAATATAAATCCTTCAATTCCCCCCCTCCTTCCTCTTCAGTCAGTTAGAACTAAAAAAAACTTCTTGGATGAGAAAATAAATATTTTCAAGGAAAAAACCAAGAGACTCTAGCTTCTTTTTGGAAAAGCACTTTTGAGACAACTATGACCTAGATGGTTGATAACCTCCATAGGTACCTGGAAGTTGAGGTTCACCTATCACACAGTTGCCCAGCTTGAGATACAGGAGATTGGACTAGAAGACCTCCAAGGTCCCTTCCAACTCTGTTATTCTGTTACATGGGATCCTGTCTTGAGAAGGGACTTGGACTAGACAATTTCTATGGTCATTTCCAACTTATTCTTTAAAAACTACACTTTTGGAGCATCCACAACCTCTGGAGGCAAGGCATTCAACTGATTAATTGTCCTCACTGTCAGGAAATTTCTCCTTAGTTGCAAGTTGGTTTTCTCCTTGATTAGTTTCCATCCATTGCTTGAGAATAAATGGTTGGGTACCATTTGTAGGCCACGCCAGTTCTACGAAACTGGTGAAGAAAAAATGGGTTATGAAATCTCTATAAAATAGTGTCCTTGATAAGCCTGAACAGAGAGAACAAACTGTCTGCTGAGATCAGAGTGTTTTATCCTAGGTCTGGATTAAAAGGGAAGGATCAGTCAATTCAGAGCTGACAAAAAAAACACTCTCAATAGAAGATATTTAATCTAGGGGTTTTTTGTGGAGGGGGGAGAGAAACACACACCATCCCATCCAATAATAAGGCTCACTTCTGAGTTGGGGTTGGGATTAGGGGATAAAAGGTTGTAGACTAAAAGGGGCATCAGAAAACATTTCCTGTGATGTGCCTCCTGCAGTTGGTTTCCCCACAAGGAATTCCCCTATTTTATCTTCTTTGCAGGTAAATATGATGTTATCATCCCTTCCTTTCTAAGCCTATTCCTGACTTCTTCATATTGTGGACATTGTTAACTACCTGTTTAAGGACTGCAATTATAAAATGCTGTTTCAGCAGTGACTTTTTTTTTTAAAGAGTGTTAGACATCTTGCAGCTCTACAGAGGCATAATATGCTCAGAAGATGTTTTCAAAGTCCTGATTCATTTTTGATTGTATGATTCCTTTTGGATGGGTGTTTCTCCCTGCTTGTCACTATGGGCATTTTTCATAGAATGGAATGGAGGAATAGAATAATAATATTAGTATAGAATAATATTATCTATATCTATATCTATATCTATATCTATATCTATATCTATATCTATATCTATATCTATATCTATATCTATATCTATATCTATATCTAT